GACCTTCTCATTGACCCGTCTGCCCTCCTGCCTTCTCAATTAGCATTTGTAGCAAACTTGTAGCCCACAGCTCAACCCAATTCTTACTGAGGCATATCAGTCCCAACACAAACACAGGAATAGCCCACTCAGATCATCTTGTCTGTGAGAACGTGCCAGCTCCTCATCACCTTCTTCTCAAACCCTCCTCCTCACTCCATCACCTTACCCTTCTATTTCTCCCTCGTGTTTATCCAGCTGCCCCTAAAATGTATCAATATTATTCACCTCAAACTCTCCCTGTGGGGCAAGTGTCACATTCTCCCCACTGCCTGGGTAAAGGGAGGCTGTGTCCCCCACGTGCCCTGATCAACTGCTCCAAGAGATTGATAACTTAAAGGAATAATTATAATGAGTCTTTGCTGCCTTTCTTATTGAGTCAGTTTTAAGGTTTTCAGCATCAGCAAAGGCAACAAAAGGTGACTTTGAAGAAAACAGGACAAGTCAATAAGGCTGTTAAAAAAGCACGTCAAATCCTTGGCTTTGTGAAATCGAGGCACAGATTCTAAGCCTTTATGAACCAATGACTAGGCCTCACTGTATCTGAATCTGGGCATCATACTGTAAAAAGGATGCAGAGGAGGATTATTAGAATATGGCCTGGCTCAGGAAATTCAAGTCCATTGGGAAACTGGGATTATTTTCCTCAAATCAATAGATCTTCGAGCCCTGAGGAAATCAAGGAAATTGGGATAGGATGGGATGGATGGATGACCAGTCATGATCTTATTAAATGGTAAAGTAGACTTGAGAGGCTGAATGGTTTACTGCTGCTTCTGTGTTCTAATGTTCTTGGTTAAGGAGAGGTTAGTATCTCTGAATCAAATAGTGCAAATCCCCCACTAACTCTGTTGTCAATACAGAAACCACAACAGTTAAAGAAAGCAGCCCTTCACCATCACCATCTCAAAGACAATAATTAGAGTTTGGCAATAAATGCCAAGTTTTTGTCAGCATCCACATCTCAGGGGGAAATATTTAAAGAAATGGACAGCTCAGCACGCAACATACATGCCAAGAATATCAATTATTTTTTATCTTTAAGACAGAGGCAAGTCCTTCAACTGGGTTCTTATCTCACATATCTTCTCGGAAAACTTTCGATAATTGCAAGGCGAGTACACCACTGCAGAATGTAAACAGCTTAAAAAACATTAATCTGGATCGTCAATTCCCTAGCGCCATCCAGTTTGCATTTGGAATTTTGTTGTTGGTTTCTGGAATACATCATTCAGAAATTTCTGAAGTGCAAACTTGACAAAGTCTGTGTTTGTCTTAAAGACCTGAGAGAAGGCTGAGGGCCCATCTTTGAGGTTTCTAATTCATTTTCCTGATTAGGAAGTCAAAACTTTGCATTCAGACCCTCCTATTAGCTGCTGGTCCCAACTGTGCCCTTTTTTTTCTCTAATTTAACAGAAGATGTAAACTTCCTGCTTGAATCATGAACTTCCTGTTTCAGTCTCAGAGTAACCTCCTGTTATGGCGTGGGCTAATTTCCTCTTCTATGTAAGTAATGGAAAGTTATTGTATGCTAGTAAAGTCTAGATCTTACAAGATATGTTCTAAATCTTTTGCTGAGGAGCTGAAGGGATATTTGATTCAATTGAACTATACTGTATAACAAACAGCAATACCTCACCATGCTTCTTAAAGATCCACCCAATTAGTTGCATTGTGGAGTAAGAGAGGAGCAGTATGCATGGTTTCAACGGTTTGTCACAACGCTCTACCAGTGTGATGGACAGTAATATTAGCCAGACATTCCATCTGACCCCATGGGTGTTCTGTTTCGTGGGTTCTGTTAAGTTTCCTCCCTCATTTCTCCATTTATCAGTTTCTGCTCTTTCGGCGACTTATCTGTCTGCATTTGGCACAGAACTTAAAACATTGCTAAAAAGTGACAGTGTCAAAGATTTTCACCTTGCACTTATTAGGATGTGGACTTAAGAAGACAAACATAGGAAGGGAACACCAATTTATACAGCACGAGAACAGGGTACTGATTGGTCGGACCACAGTTGGCATGGCGATGCAGAAGGAGTTAATCTGAAATCGTTAAGCTCAAGCCAGGCAGATGGGTTTTGATTAGTCAGGGCATTGCCATGGGGAAGGCAGTAGGGATAGGCAGTCTCCCTAACACTTCCTCATTGAAAAGGTTGTGTGAACAAATTTATTTTGCCTTCAAAGACCGGGGCCGAGTGTGTGAATATATGTAGTTTCTAGCACACACAAACGAATCACATAGTGAGCATGACCACTAATCTTAATTTCTAGTGTACTTCTTAACAGCACAGTCAGGACTATCGAGTAAGTGTTGTCCAGTAGCAGCAGCACATCTGTATTCCTGCTGCACTCCCCATGGCAACACCCTGGCCAATCAGATGTACCAGCCTGGCGTGATTGTAATCAGCTAAGATTGACAGTTAACAGTTCCTGCCACGTCACCATGCCAACCAGGATCCCACCAATCAGCACCTTCACATACTTTGTAAATTGTCATTCCTTCTCTAAGTTCTATTGATTGTGTGGCAGTTCTGATGAACGCAAAGCAAAAACTTTTGAGTTTGTGTCTCTTTTCAGCAAAGGTGAACTTCCTCAATTCCTGCAGGGTCACCTCCTGCAAGTTTCCCACAGAATTCTTCCTCTGAGCTGTGCTTTATAGAACAGGTGAATGATGAAGAAGAGATTGGGGAGATGAGTGAAGCTATCCCAGAGACACGGGGCACATGAGCCAGGACCTCCATATCCGAGGACCACGCAACAAAAACAAAATAGCTGATGGGAATGTGACAGAAGCTTCTTTGTGGCTGTAGAACCTCAGAAATTGACCACATTATGGCTGCTCTCCATTTTTCTTACATTCTCTGCCCAACCTCCCTGCAGCCATCAGAAAAGGGGGAGGGGAAGGGGGTTCTGAAATAAATAGGGAGAGAGTGGGAGGCAGATAGAAGATGGATAGAGGAGAGGAAACAAACAGGTCGAAGAGGCGGGGATGGAGCCAGTAAAGGTGAGTGTAGGTGGGGAGCTAGGGAGGGGATAGGTCAGTCCAGGGAGGACAGACAGGTCAAGGGGGTTAGTCGGTAGGAGATGGGGGTGCGACTTGAGGTGGGAGGAGGGGATAGGTGGGAGGAAGAACAGGTTAGGGAGGC